CAACGACCATGTCGTCGGCAAGTGACTTTGTTGGCGGGCTGTTTGTAGTATCAGAGTACTCAGTAGCTCTCAACTCATATCGTGCCAGAAGCTCTGGAACACTTCAATGGATTGAATCACGCCAGCATGTTACAAGAATTGGATGGAGAAAGTGCAGAATCGTGTCTTATTGTGGTGTATCTACACCAACGCCCCAGCGCCCTCGCTATGCTCCGAACCCAGATCTCTCAGAAGGTGTATGCCGAATTAACAGCGGCGATCTTGCAGCTTTGCGCGGAGGAATGCGCGGCGGAAGGCGCGGTCGCGGGTGGCGGGACGAAGACGATTCCAGAACTAGAAGTAGAAAGTCAGCATTGTGACAACTTTGGACTGACGAGCCAAAAGCACACAAAGATAGGAATACTCACGTTCTGCAGGCGCCTGGCCTCCTCTGCCTCAGCGCGAGCAACCTGCTCCCTCTCTTGCTCCTCCTTCTCCTCCTCGTTCATCCTCCTCAAGTACATTTGGAGGTAGTTGTACGCGAAGTTGGTCGCGACCCTTGACAGGCCCATGTTGGCCGGAACTTCCTCTCGCGCACGCGCAGCGACTCCCAAGTACCAGTGCATCCGGGCCAGCGAATAGGAGGCTGACTTGTTGTCCATTGTGATATGGTGATGGTTTGGGTGGTGTGGGGTTGGTTTTGGGGTTGTTGGTGAGGTTTTGTTGAGTCTGTCGCAATTGTCAGCCTTGATTATCATGATACTCATGCAGCGTAGCACGATCTCAAAGATAACTGGGATTCAAAACTTACGGTATGAGGAGTTGGTGGTTCTGGAGTTCGGTCAAGTCCAGCAACGAGGAGAAGATGTAGGACTGGGGCCCGCGCAACACGTCAATAGCAACAAACTCGAACAATAGATATCAGACCTTCAGCAGAGAGCTATATGGATTGCTATTGTGCTAGAAGCTTTCAATATGGTCCATGTATACAGCATGTAAATTCCAGTCGAGTCGCAATAGGTCCAGCCCAGCAACGTAGAAGTCCCTCGACCTAGAATTCTCTAAGTCACCTCGCAATTGCGCGCACTCGCATGAGTACGCTCGCCATGTACGCAACACGTAATCTCAATTTGCGTTCAAGTCCTTCACGGCTCACCTTCATCAAGCTAGCAGTGCACATGATGCTGTCGATTTTTGCACCGCCAGGGCGTCTCCTCTGGTCCCCTTCACTTTTGGGGACGCGCAATTTGTAATCTCCCTCAAGGCAAACGCGCGTGGCCTTAGTGCTGTCGTCGCTACGTCAACAAGCTTGATCAATTTTGTCCTTACCCACCTACTCAACATTTTTTTCCACAACACACTCGCACCCCAAGATCCCATTCTCCCTTACATCTTCTTCTACCCACTCTACATTATCAGCACCTTTGTCACTCTTTTCCATAGCTACCTGGTCCTTTGATCTGGCAGTGTCAACCCCCGCATGCACGGGAGCGACAACAGTCACTCGACCGCGCCGCACACCAGCGGCGCGTCACCTCCAGTCAGCAGCATCTGACATTCAGACTTTGCCTCTCGGCGCTTGGGTACTCACTCTCTGTATGTTCTCCCCTCTTCTTGCTCACCCCCACCGCCGATGATGATCCTGCCTTTGGCAGACCCTACACTTTTTGAGACATGTAGAACCGCTACTCTGTGGCTGGTTCGCAGTTGATGATAGAACAAGCTTTCTGATGGACAGCATACCCACGCATTGCGCCGGAAATCTTTTTAAGATCGTATGCTGACAGCTATCTAGTAGTCACACACCCTCTCTGCAAGGTCACTCGAGGCGACCTCGAGCTACGCAAGGCTGTCGCATCGCATTACCACTCAGACTACCGTTTTCTCCGCTTCCGAACATTGGATAACACGAGTGCCTTGTGCGCATTCGGATTGGTAAGTTCTCCCCCGCTGCTCGCCCGTCACACGTTTATGATTATACTTCTGAGCTACCACAAAACTGCCCCTCCTATATAATCTGGTCGCTAGGTGATGGTCGCTTCCAGCAGCCTCTCTAGCTTCTCCGGAGGGGGACATGTTGAAGATTCCAGATCAGTCTGAACCATTACATCGCTCGTCCCATTCAACTCTACCTCGGACTTTTTGGCATTCGCTAACTCGCCATTGTCATCTCTTCGCAGTCCTCCGCTTTCAGCACCTCGCCCCAGAGGAAAGACTATTGCCGCACTCGTCCTGTTCGACTGGATACTTTACTGTCACCTTACGGGCAGCAGCTAAGTCGCCCTCGTCCAAGCACTGTGTTCTCTCTCGATAACTCGCATCAGCACGAGCTGTTACTACAGGTTTCAGTTTGCAAATCAGTAAGTTCTATCTCTCCATTCCCCTCTCCATTCCCCTCACCCTCCCCTGCAATGATATCAACCCGATTAGTTTCAAAGAAAACGCTTCTCTTTGATCCGTCGAGGAACGCTGCAACGGAGCTCGGCCTAACATCCTTGAGCTCTCCAGCAGCTGTCCAAAGAGACAGAACTAATCTTCTTTGATACGCCGGCTTCTTTCTCCACATGTTTCGTTCCTATTCCTTGATATCCGCTGACCTTCCGTGGTATCTAGACATGGCGCCCATCACTTCCTCGTCCACACGCAATGCAGTGGTCCAGCTCGGCAAAATCTACGTCCTTCGCCTGGGTGCCGGGTCGACAAGAGCAGTGTCCGCACGAATGTTGCGCCCCATACCGGTATGTGCCAACTCACTACCCTTACCCACTGCTACCATGAAAACAAACCGGGCTGTGGTTTAGCTTCTCGAACCACCGCCCTTGAGGAACGTTGCAACGGAATTCGGCGTAAAACCTTTGAGTTCCTTAGCGGCTAGTACGAAGACACACTCGACCATGCTGATAATTTGATCTGCCAACACCCCTTCTTACCATCCTTCATGTCTATCTCCTGGATTTCGCTGATCTTTTGTTATACCCAGAAGTACCACGACAGCGGCTGCATCGTCTCTTTGCTGCTCATCACGATGGCACACGAAACCACAACGGTAAGTCAAACTCTCCTCGTCATCTAGCGATACTATGATGATACCACCGATATTGTCTGAGTCCGTTGATGACAACATCGTACTCATTCCAGCTGACGTTCCCCGATCCTTTCCACACACGCTCTCCCTTTCCTCGATGAGCATTCGCTAACCATTACACAGAACTGCAGTGAGTTTACACGGTCCGCTCAGCTGACAATTCCAGCGACCTCTGCTTCTTGATCGATCAGATCAGTACCGGTACGTAAGCGCGCGTCCACTCCCTAATTTCTCGCAAGATGATCAACCGCTCAACTCCCGAATCGTCCAAGGGCCGCTTCTCAACATGAGGGTGCTAATCGTTGGGTTACGTTTCTGACGAGACCCGTCCCCCTCTTTCTGCTGCTCTCCGCTGTTGAACTCCGCTGACGTCTGAGAGATCAACTAGAGAATGGACGCTATTCTCAGAGCGCGCATTACATCGAATTTCGCGATTGATTCAACTACGGTACGTCTTTATCCTGTCCTCTTCCCTATCAGCAAATGATGAGATAGCGGTGACCCCACAAAGGTATCTGAACGCCTGAACTCTTCATTGAAGAAACTACGTCACCACTCTGATGCCTCTCTGCTCCATCCACTCCAAGCGAACGATTCCTCGAGCCATACTGATCAGATGTATATCAAGCAGTCTCTCCACGCCGACGAAGGCGGCGCCTCCTCCTACCAACGCGCGCAATTTCTCCGCACTGTCCTCCTCGAACGAAACCTCGACCACGCCGGCTTGCGCACACAAGGCATGAAGAGAAGAACCAGGACGCACATCAGCCACTCGGCATTTCGGCATACGTAGCAGTACAACCTCACAAGCTGGTACTCGCACATCATCACGGCACGGGCACGTAGCTTCTGCCTTCCCCATGGCGCTGCTGCACACCCACGCGCCGAAGAAACTCTGGTGTCACTCGACAGCCTCCGCCATGTTTTTTCCGTACTTGCTATGGCAAGTTACATGGCGGTCTCGACAGTGACATCTGCCCTTTGTAGTAAGACTTGACTGAGCTCAACCTACTCGGTCAGGTTTAAACTAGTGGCTAAATACCAACTTTGTCATAGCTAACCTGCCAGGTAAGTCACCTTCCCATTATACTTCGTTATTGCAAGTTACCCTTTACTCACATTGAACAGATCCCCTGGCTGCTCATCGTAGTCCAACTTCTGAGCGACACGTTAACAGTCCACCGTACTTCTTCCATAAGAACGGTGGTAGGCCGTGTCGCAAGATCAAAGATACCTCATTTATCCTCGTGCTCTCCGAGCATAGATGGGCAGTTGAGGTGAGCGCTACAAGGGGTGTCTTGAGCCTCATCATGGTCTTGGCATCAATAGTAGCAGCTTACATTTCGGTTCTACTGGGGGTTTGTTGGGGGTATGATGGAGCGCGAGGACGACGTGGAGCTGGACTTGATGCTTATGAGGATGTTGATATGGACTGTATTCGGGAGAGGGTGTGTGGAAGGGACTTGGTGCTACCATGAAACCGCCAGTATGCGTTGCAGACTGCAAGATCTTCTGGTTATTTTCGCGTAGATATCAAGATTGTAACTCTTTCAAACCCCCTCAATTCTCCTGTGCCTCAAAAGTGAAGGTGAACCTGCTCAAATGGCACTGAACGCATCAAGGACGAAAATCCAAAGGAAGAGAAAACTTGCACCATTACTGTTTCCTCGCCGCGCGACGTGCAATTTCCCGCTTCTCACGGTGAAATCTCCTCCCCCGCTCCTCTTCCCAAAGCGTATGTGTGAGTGTGAGGAGGGGGAGCAAGGTAGGTAGGTACAAATCCGCGTCTCTGGCTGACTTCTGTTCCTTAACCCATCCACCACCTCACACATGTACGTATCCTTCTGAACCTTCTATTTCAGCTTCAATTCGCAGTATTTGGTTACATGTAGCTAACGTAGATACATAGAAATCAAACCAAATCATCACCACCAACATGCCCGTCTCCTCCTCCGAGCTCGCCGAGGGCATCCACCTCGCCCGCCGCGAAGTAAGTTTCTACCTGCTACAATACATCCACAGCCCTCTTCTGCAATACGACATCATACCCAGGAAGATACAGTACTAATAGGATTTTCAGCTCAGGTTCGCCCATGCCGCCCGCCGCCGGCACGTGCAGTGCGGCACGTGGAGCGTCGACGAAGACCTGGCGCTTCGGCGCACCATCCGCCTCTGCCGGCGCGCGCTGGCCGCCTTCCTCCCCGCCTACTGGGTGGCCCTCGAGCTCGAGGCCAATTTCCAACGTAAGTTATATTCCTTTCACTTGTTTTGGTAGTTGGGCATTTGGAGCTGTATCAGCAGAGTGTCTTCACATCTACTCTCCTTCATCAACAACACTCACACTATACCTAATTGGAACACTGCTAACATGTAAACAGAGGCATAGAGCCGCCCGGCCCCCCTCCTCGCGCCCTCGCCGCCATGGCTGCCCTTCGGGGACAAGATGACCTCGGGCGGAAACTTTGGGCCCTAGGCCAGACGATTTGAATACATTAAATAGATCGTTTCCTCCTCGCCATATCATGCCGTCTTGATCTCCTCTGTGCCAGTGATGTGTATACCTAAAGACTACCTACGCACCTATCAGCTGCCCATCTCCAAGCCACATGTATGCCTCACGCCGTATAGCAAACTTCGTATCACAGCATGACGAGCGGCATGTAGGGTCCTGGCATGCTTGTATTCCTACTTGCAACGGGTATAAAGCGAATGTCTACTCCAGCCTCTACTCCTCCAACCAGTCCGCAGCACTACCAATAGCCCTACTAACAATGCCAACCCACCTCTCAACCCCCTCTTCACTCTCCTCCTCAATCGCCTCAACGATACCAGGGAACGTGGCACCAGAATAGCCCGTCCACTTTCCAGGAGCGAAGACGACGTGCTTGAACCAGCTTCGGCCGTCCAGACCGTCCGGGAACAGGAACTTCCTCTCCAGATACTTGTACTTTGTGTTGATGCCGCGGATAGCGAGGTACAGTTGCACCTTCTTCCAGGGCTGCCACCAGGGAATGTCGCCGATGTTTTCATATTGCGCTGCGAGATCAGCGGCGGTAGCGTCGTGGAGGATGGACGCGAAGAGGAAGTGGGAGACGGCTTCATCAAGAGGTTGGAAGACTTCGCTGGAGTGTTTGTTTGGGGGGCCGGCGTCGAAGGCCTTTCGTTTGACAGCGTCGACGTAGGTCTGGAGGCCGACCGCGTAGTCTGTGGCATTCAGTTGGAGAATGGGTGTCTCGACGAGCTTGGCCGCTACGAGTGCCCACATCTTGGCGATAGTGGCATGGTATTCGAAGGTCGGATCGCCGTACTTCTTCATCCAGTCGAAGGAATCGTAGTTGCTGTGATAGTGGTAGACTGCTGACTTGGCGTCAAAGCCGAAGCCCATGTCAATACATGGGATGCCAGCGAAATCCTGGAAGGCGGTGAAGTCGCTGCCAGAGCCCATCGTCTCAATGCGCTTGTCCCAGACATCGTAAACGGATTGACCAGCGACGGTCTGGTTCGGAGACATGACCATACGAGCTGGTAGATGTTAGCTGATGCTGAGTAACAGGGTATGATAGCAAGCTTACCGACTTCCTCCACCACACTGCTCATCAAGGGCGCCGCCGAGAGCTTGAAGTTCGGACCTGCTGTGGCAACATCGACATTCAGATATGCGACTGTAGAACCAGAGAGCCAGGGCAGGTATTCCTCAACCCACTCGGTGCTGCCAACCAAGCCGTACTCCTCTCCGTCCCAGCTCGCGAAGACAATTGTCCTCATTGGCTTCCAGCCAGCCTCCATGGCAGCTCCAAAGCTTCTGATGACCTCGTTGAGCGCTGCGCTGCCGCTGTTTGGGTCCCCTGCGCCTCCAGCAATCCAAGCATCACGGTGGTTGCCGAGAACAACGACTTCATCGGGAATGGTGCCGTTGATGATTCCAATGACGTTCCACAAGGGCGTCGTAACATACTCCTGCTCGTTAACCAGGTTGAGCACGAGGTCGTCTGGCGAGGGCCCAATGTTATATTCCACGCCCTTGTAGTCCAAACCGCCGCCGTGCCAGTGCTCGTTGAAGGATGAGGCTTTCGGACCGTGGCCATTGAGGGCTTTGAGAAGGGGAAGCGCGTCGAGGTAGGAGATGGGAAGAGATGGGATGTGTGGCATCGCGTGGTCGACGGGCTGGCGAGGGCAGCCAGGTTTCGAGGGATAGCCTGGAGTGGTAGGGTCACCTGGCGCGAAGCCTGTAAATTGTTAGCATGGCACGACAGAATGATGGGTAACAACTTACTCAAGAACTGAACGCTTCCTCGCTGGACGCTGCTGGGTTCTCTGGCCGGTCCGTCGGGATATGTCGCAACGCCGTTCTTTTCGGTGACCTCTCCATCATCGCCAGGGTCTGTGTACATGGCAACTCCCACCATGCCCAGCTCTTGCGCGCGCTTGACCTTGAGACCGCGGAAGACGCCTCCGTACTTGGCTAATGCAATCTTGCCTTCCAAACTGACGTTGGCCGCCTGTAGCTCCTCAAAGTCTCTGTACGTTCCGTAGTTGACGAATACGTAAGGCGCCGTCACGTTGCCAGAGGCGCTGTATCCATGGAAGGTCGGCACGCGATCTGCGAGCTGGCTTGACTTGTCCTCGTCCAAGACGTCTTCTTCCAGTCGCGCTTCGTATTTGACCTTCCACTCTTGCTTTGTCGTGCTGTCAGCCGCGTCTTCCTTGTCGCCAATCTTCTCCATGAGTGCCAATCGATGGCCCTTGGGGTAGTTGATGTAGACGTCGTAGTCGACAATGGTGCTTTCGACTCCCCATTCCTGCCATCTTTCTCTGGTCCATAGAGCCTGGCTAAGGTTCTTTCCGGCGAGATGCGGTCCGCTGGTGTAATACCTGCTCCATTCTTCTGCCTTTTCAGCACTGGGTGTTTCCAGGAGCGCCGCCTTGAGGCCTTCGAAGTCCAGGGTCGTCTTTCGCGCCCATCCGTCGGGTATTTGTGAGGTCGATAAGGAAGATGCCGAGAATCGTGATGCAGGGGCTACTTCGTCTTGAGTGGGTGGCGTAAAGGCGAAAAGGAAGACGGCAGCAAGTCCTCCGGCGATTATCGTCGCGCTCAGCAAAGTCGTGCATACAAATCGGAGGCGATGGTGTGGGTATCGGTCGCGATGGGGTCGGACATCGACGCGCTGAATCAGCGGGGTGCTTTCGTCGGCCATTGTCGCTGGCTTCTCATTGCTCGCCGGGAGCTGCATGTACAAACAAGAGGAATCTTTCACACCTGGCCAGAGGCATGCAAGATGGAAGTTGAGATAAGAGACAGCTGCGCGGAGCTATGCCGGACACCGAGGTCGATGGCGTCACGCACTTATCTCGTCCTATCTTAGCGCGGCTGCCATGTCAGGGGTCTGAGGGGCCGCGGAATTTGTTGCCAACATCAGACCTTCATCCGCATCGCACATCGCTTCGAAAGGAGCGCGCATCGTGACGGACATATCTACTTACCAGGTGAATCTTGAGGCGCTTTATTCTATGCAACAGACTGTTCATCGGCCACGTGATAGCCCTCCGCACGTTGCGCGCAGCGTCATCCGGCCATCGTACACCATGCATTCCACCTGAAGTTCTATATCTCTAATGATTTCGCAAACTACGGTAATGATGGCGAGTGGCTTCTACGGTCTAGGAAAGACTCTCTGTAACCTCGCGCAACTCCTGTCATGTCATCTGGCTCATCCTCTCAACTCAACCTCTCCACACAACGCGTTGTCTCTTTCGTCAATAATTCATGTTTATCAACTTCTTCCGATTCTTGATTTGCTTGGCTTTCGCACCTGCGGATCTCATGTTGCCGTCCCAAGATCAAGTGACCAGAATATCCAGCAGCTCTGTCACAAGCTCTGAGCGCAGCGACGCCGTTGCTTCTTCTTGTCATTTTCCGCACAATGTCTCCCTACGCAATTTTGCCCTAACGCTGTCTCGTCATAAGCTGGGCTTCGTTCTCGGTCAACAAAGACGCCGTGAAGGTTGCATGATGGCCGTCACGTCCATTGTCGCATTGTCAACGCTGAGGTCGACACAGGATCGAAGCAGCGCAAGTGTATATATACTAACGCCTGCTTCTTCCCTGTGATGGTTCAGAATCCACTCGAGTCCGAACTTACCCAACATTGCAATCTTGACGCATACGCAACACCCCGAGCCCAACACATCGAACCCGCAACACGAAATCCGTAACACAATGGCCACTCCCTCCACCCAAGCCCCCCAGCTCATGGGTATCACAGGCGACAACTGCGCATCCTGCCAGTCGACTACCGTCCCACTTTACGACTTACCTTGCCACGAGAGCGACGACTTCCACTGCCGCGACTGCCTCACCAAGACTTTCCACGCCGTCAACGACCAATTCGTACGATGCCCACACCCGTCATGCCGCCGTATTGTCGGCTTCGAGCAGCCTACACCCCTCGCGCAGAACCTCCATCTTGACAACGAGTTTTACGACCGGGAGCGCATCGACAAGATCCGCGAGCAGCCGGAGGTCATGAACAACCTGATCGCGTTCGTAGGCGAGGAGGCTGAGGTCATTTTACAACACGTCTACACTATGTTCGAGGACCAGCTCCTGGACCCCGTAGCCCTCGGCGGCGTCGCTGGACATTACACTGCGGGTATCGCAAACTCGCTCGTGGCCAGCTTCGCCTGCAACCCCTTCGTCTGCGGGCTTCTCGCTCAAATTAAAGATACGTTCAAGCTGATGGCTACCCCGTATGAGCTTGAAGAAGACCTCAATACCCTTCTTGATAGACTACTTCACGAGTACGCGCAGTTGAACTATGGGAACGAACTCACTCGGCACGGTATTGATTTGGAGCATGAGGGCGCGGTGCTGGCTGCTGCACTGAACAACTACAAGCCCTTCATTGAACTGAAGGAGAACTGGGAGCTGATCATCAAGAAGTGGGTGGAGCTGCTGGCTTGGAGGCACTTGGAGCGCCTGGCACCGCCTGAAGGAGGTGCTGCGGAGCGTAAGAACCGTCAGTTCTAGGGCATAACATGTAGGCCAGAATCACATCGCGAGTATATCATAGTATAACATGCCGTCTTTCCAATCAATATCACCATTCCAATCAATATCACCATTAATGCAATCTGTAGCCTGCCATATCTCTGCTCGTACGTCATATCAAAGATGCTGCCGCACTGACCCGTCCACGCGTACCTTTCCCGTCCGCGCCCAGCCAACCACATCACTCCCCCGCTCCTTCCCGTTGCAAAAGTCACCCTCACCACGACTTTAATCTCCCGGTGTTCCCCCGACAGCACCTGGGCACGACCCCCGACAGCATGACTAAGAAGCTCCGTGCTTTCAGGCTCTTGGCGGCTCTCCCTCGCACTATATAAACAGCCGATCCCCCTGCCCAAACCACCAACTCACCTTCCTCCGCCGGGCCTCTTTAGATAGTTGCTTTCTGCTTTGCTTTCTGCTTTCTGCTTTCTGCTTTTGC